CGGATCGCCTTGTTTGACATTAACGTGGGTTCTTGCCTCCTTCATCGCCTTGCAGATGCTTTCCTCGATGTCTTCGTGCCGCTCCAGGCTGCTTAGAATTAGCTCCCGGAATCCATCCCATTTGATGATCGGTCGAAGCTCCTTATCTTTCCGCCCACTTGGGTGTGTGACGGTGACTTCGATGGGGTAGTGGTCGCTGCCCTGTGTGTCCCTCCTTGGTGTCCATTGGGTGTCGAGGCGCTTTGTGGCCCACGTGAGATCTGGTGTAGTGTCCTTCTGGCGTTGTTGCTTGGCTAGTCGCGTCTTGACCCCTTGTTCATTGCGGAGTTCAAGCCCGGCTGTTTGCATGGCTGCGATGATGTCTCGGCCTTTCTTTGTGTTGGTGTCGTATCCCCATTCGCGGTGTTGTGCATTAAAGTCCCCTCCGACGATCAGTGGGTCTCCATCCGCCAGCTCGGATAGCTTTCGGATCCATTCTGCCGTCTCTCCATTTTTTAGGGTGGTATTGGGCTTTATGTAGACAGATGCCACCACCAGTTTGAGTTTACCTCGCTTTAGTCGGACAGCAACTACCTCCCTCTTGTCCGAGCAGAGTGCAGTGGTGTCTAGCTGCGTCTGTGGTATGTTTTGGAGTACGCAAACTGCCACCCATCCTTTCTTTTCAATGGGATTCTTCTCCCTGCAGCTTGGCTTAGATTTGATGGTCGGACTTAGGTAAACGTTGAAGCCGGTGATTGCCATGTCCGGTGTTTTAGTCTCCTGCAGCAGCAGAATTTCTGGTGGCGCATTTCTTTCGAAGCGGAGCTTGAGCTCCGCTGCTCTTGCCGAGAACGTGTTGCAATTCCACTGTAGGATCCGTGTCGGTGCCATCTTGGTCTGTCCGGGTTCGTAAGTTCTATCTGCTATGCTTGAGCTCAGCAATTTCCTTTTTAATCTCTCCGAGTACTTGGAATACCATATTAAATCCCATTTCCACGTCTTTCTCGAATTTGGCTATTTTGGATTCTTGCTTCTCGAACCTAGCTTCGAGTGCTTGTACTTCCTTCCTCCAGTCTGGTAGTTCGGTGGACTTAGCCTTCGTGCGCTGGGCCCATTCTGGGATCCAGTTTGGGGCTACCATCTTCTCATTGGAGTCAACTGTTGGCTTTCCTGGGTTGGGAGGAATTCGAATGACCTCCTGCTCTGTGTTTTGTTGGCCGCGAAGTTGTGCCTGTGCGGTGGCAGTTGCTTTGGCTGCTGCCGCGTAACTTTCTCTCAGTAGCTTCAGCTGTGGTGGGTTTGCGGGCTGCTTCTTTTCTGAGATCTTCCTCTTGGGACAATTGTTGCTGGTTGCCACGTGGGCCCCACCGCAGTTCTTACACTGTGGATCCCTTGTGCACTCCTCCATCTCTTCTTCGTGGATGTGCCCGCATTGGTCGCATCTGCTCTCTTTGCTTGGGCATACGTCCGTTTTGTGCCCAATGTTGTGACAATTGAAGCAGACTATTGGTCTTGGTCGGTACGGTTTCACGGTGAACACTTCGCGGCAGAACATGACTTTCGCTGGCAGCCAAGTTCCCTCAAAAGTGACCACCACAGCGTTGCCTTTCTTGCCCATAAGGCGGGCGTAGACTACTTTGGCCGTTCTGCATTCCAAATCCGGTAGTAGCGTTTCGGGTGTCTCGTCGCTGTTATCACCGTGCAAGTAGATGACACCGCGTACTTGGTCGTTCCCCATTGCCTTGTATGGGCTTAAGGCGTACGAGTCTTCGCCTTTCGTGATCTCAGTGACTTTTAGGAGATTTTGGATTATCTCTTCGTTCCGCGTTTTTAGCGCAATGGTGTTCGTCTTCGGCTGAATTTGAATTCTGTAGTCATCACGACTGGCGATTCCCGTCTTTTCCACCGCTGTTTTTATATCTCGGGTCTTGAAGTCCTTGACATTCTTTTTCCATATCGCTTTTAGTACCACTGTCTGGGTTGACGTGGGAGTTTCCCGCCTATCTTCCTCAGATGATGTTCTCGGTTTTTGGACTGTCGAACACCGGCGTTTTCGTCGGCGTTTACTTATATACATTTCAAACCCTTCGTCTTCAGGGTTCTCCTCCACGGGGGCGGTTCCTAAGCTGTTAGCCTTAGCTTGTCGTTCTTCTGAAGTTGGATTTTCTGGTTTATGTAATTTCTGTAGTGGTGGAAATTGGGAAGTATCTTGAGAACTCACCTCTTCGGATTCCATGGCGTCCCTTTGCTGGCTTGCCATCCAGCCTGGGGTCAACGTCCCTTGTATGTAGCTGTGCAAGAGTGTGGTTATTAATTTGCCGATATCCTCTCTGGTGATTCCCAATTTTCCGAGGAGTCCAGCGTCAAGCTCGATGGCTGTGGTCCTGGCGGGTTCAAGCTGCTGCTGCTGCGCTTTTACTTCGGCTTGTTGACCGCGCGTTCCCGAAGTCAGGGCTGCTGCGGTGTCCATCTTTTCTGGCTCCAAACTCGTCGAAATGACCCCGTCGGTTGCGAAATCAGCGGGCGGAGCGTCGTCGAAGGTCCTTGGTGATTCACGAGACCTTCATAAACGTGGCGCTGTTTTGGGGGGTGTCGGGACCCCCTAACGATGCCACGGAGCGTCCAGGTTTGATCTTCAAGGTAGTTGGAAGTCCAAAAGCTATAGAAAGTGCCAAACATAGAAAATTATCAGGAGCCGAAAATTCCGTGTTCCTTTGCCAGGGCACTTCGTCGTCGTCCTTCCATGAACGATGGAATTACCAGTTCTAACAAATCGGATGCAACAGGGTTGCGCCCGAGACGGCAGAGTTGCCGCCTGGAATGCAACAGGATCGGCCCACGAGACATTGACGATGGGTCTCCTGGTACGCTCCTCATAGAATTTAGCGTCACTGACAGCACATAAGTGTTCCCGCGGACCTCTAAAGATTTTATAATGTTGCACGGATATTCCATGGACGTGCACATGACAGCTGTGCCTGTGCGGCTTGTGACTCAACATAGGTGCGAGACCCGATACATACGTACGGGGACGTTGATGCTGGGGCTCGTGGAACGCCATAGCACACAAGCTGGCTGCCATGAGTCTTTACCGGGACGGAAATAAGAGACGAACACTTTGCAAGATGGTTGTGGCAGAATTGTACAGTACGATTTTTATTCGAGGTCGTGTAAATACTCAAGAAAATAAAAGCGAGACAAAGAGTAAAAGAGGGTCCGTACAATCGACCGAGAGTGAAAAATTGAAAAAATTGGAGATTTCTTGGAGAAGAGGCACTGTGTGCTCCAGCCTTGCCACCCAGAACAACCAGCGACCAATGTCAAAACAGCGGGAGACGGACATACCTCGGTTTCTCCGGCGGGAAACCGGTCGACATAGACGCGCTATAAATACTTCCACAGACAATAGTATTTCTCTGCTTAAATCATTGTTATCCAAATATGCCGGGTTGTAGGAACTGGGTAAACACACACACAAACCTGTATGACTAGAACTCGACTTGTATTCGCGTTAAAACAAAGAAGAAAAAAAGACGGTCGCTTAGAAGTGGGGGGAAACACCCGCATGTCACCGAATGGGAAAATTGTCAAAAACAAAACCTAGCGTGTTCGCACACACACACACACAAAGAGATTTGTGTCGTTGTTTACTAGGTATCAAACTTTAGGGATAGCTGGGTAATTCGAGTTAGCTTCATCAAGTTCCGTGTGTTTCGAGACTAAAATTGGCCTTCTTGGCAAATACCGACCTAAAACTGGCCAGTGCTTTCTATATCTATTTGAAAGCTGAACGGCTGCTATCGAACCTAAAAGCGGGGTGGAATGTGCTCACGTTGAACACGAATTCATGCAGTAAAAGTAAATCGGTGTCCAATTCCAATGTGCTCGCGCAAAAAAAAAAAAAAAAGAAAACCGCCGGTGTTATGTTTGCGTTAAAGGCCGACGACCAGGCTCGAAATTCTGCAAGGCAGAAGATCCTCCTCGCCATGGGGGAGGAGGAAACAGGCAACGGTGGACAGGGTAGAAGGGGGGAGGGAAGGAAGCGAAAGAAAAGGGGAAAGCGCGAACTGGTCGTCGGTCTTTAAAGGTGCCGTACGGAGTATATGGCTTTCCCTGAAAGACGATAGCTGGTCTTGGTTCCTATTGTTTGTCGTGTTCGACTTCTCACGATATTCAATATCTAACAATCTCTCTACATCAGGGGTGTCCAAACCCCGGCCCGCGCAAGGCTTCCGATCGGCGCGTGGCTCCGCTATAGTACCGGCGCAAAATTAAGTGCAGGTAAAGAAACGGGGCTGGCAACACGCTCCAAATGCGCAAACGAAGACACCAGAAAGAACGAGAGAAACTGCATCGTAACGCGGGTCCTTTCTCGCCATAATTTTCATTGAGCATTGTCACCGGCGCCACCATTCTTAGACTCCCTGCTTCATGTCTCTGTACCCAGGTCAAAATTTATTTGCGTTCTCGTGTATATTGTGCTTGGTGTCCTCTGTCACAATTATTGCACGTTAACTGCATTAGTTTTATCATTCTCATTGGTATTTTGCAATGGGCGAATGCATCAAACTTTCTATGCGCTTTGATTTATGCTTGGCGAATTTTTGTGCTTCCGATTTTTGTGCAAGCTCATAATTACCTAAATGTTAAATTTGAAATTGAAGTATGTGCATTGATCCACCTTAGGGTGCTGTTTAGTGCTGTATTTATTGCTTATATATATATATATATATATATACAACACGGGCACTTCACGTCATCGTACGTGGTCTCCGAGGAGGATATGAACGAATATGTGCAGATGAATGAACCGTACTTAATCCAATGAATTAAAGATCCAAGTTTTTCAGGAACCCGCCGAAAGCCAAAAAACAAAAGCCAAAAAATCCTGACTCCGCCGTTTTTTGGCTTTCGGCGGGTTCCTGAAAAACTTGGATCTTTAATTCATTAGAATAAGTACGGTTCATTCATCTGCACATATTCGTTCATATATATATATATATATACATATATATATATATATATATATATATATATATTGTGTTGAAATGCGTATTTAGGTTTACTTAGTTTTTCCTATTTTATAACTAATGTTTTTTTTTTTTTTTCGGGCCTTCGAGTTTGCGGTAGATCACTATTGCGGCCCCTTAGCCAAAAAGTTTAGAAACCCCTGCTCTAAAAGAAAAAAAAAACAACAACAACAACATAAGATAAGTAAATTTCTTCGAGCAAAGAACAAATCAATTAGTCTACTTTCCCCAGCTATTGATAACCAATGTATTTCTACCATTTGTGCGCGTTGTGTGCAAACTTCAGGTTTGTCGTCGAAACTTTTCCCATTCGAATAAAACAGGGTATTTATCATTAAAAAAAAAAAAAGAAATGACCGCTTTCTGAAACGGTTTTTATATATATATATAAAAATGCTACTCCGTTCTACCCCCACACATCGGGATCGTGTGTTCTATGCTACGTCGTCGTACCGAATTCGGCTGGTTTTAAACCACCAAAACCTCGGGCCGCGTCGGTTGCGCTCGACGTAGTGTCACGTCGAAGATTTCGCAGTATAGCCGCCTCTGATTGGCTGCCAGTTCACTTGCCGTGTCAGGTGACACCCAGCCAACCAATGGAGAGAGAGACAGCTACGCGGCGGAATAGGCCATACCGGCTGCGCGCCGGCCGCGTGGTGTAAAACCGCCCTTTGTTTACAGGATCTAACACAGCTGCAGCTCCACAGCACGGCCACCAGGGGACTGCATTGGTAAGGCGCGCCCTTATGTATACAAAAGTTTCGTGACGGTGATGGATCCTTCTATTACTACAATGGTATCGCGGAACTAAGAATAAAACAGAAATCACGGAGAAACGGTTAAATCTCGGATGCTCCCGGTAATGTGTCAACGGCGAGTTCCAACCTGCATATCGGATACAGGGCTACTGTTTTCACGTCGGTTCAATTGCAGTGCCTAGCGTAATTTATGAAATCCAGGGTCACGGCGCCTTTTTTGGTGAGCCGGTCGTTTGTCACGGCCAACTTCATCTTGCACGTCTCTGACTTTTATGTTATTAATAATCGCGAATGGGCTTCTGTGATGATACATCGCAAGTGTCCTTCGTCATGATGACACGCGGATGATCTTTTTTTTTTCCCCCTTCTCCATTTTGTTTTAAAATTTGAACGCTGATTTTAGGTACATGCTCTAGAGTCGTTTTGAATATGTACGAAAAGACAGCAATGTCATCTAGGTCTTAAGACACCAGGGTACGTAAAATCTCTCCATGTCACGATATTGCGCTGCGCTCTGCACACGTTTCGCCTGGCGAGGTTTTGTTATCAAACAGAGATCAAGTGGCCGTGTCCTATACACCGGGGTGCTTGTCGTACGAAGAGTGACGGTGCCCTCTAGACGCTCTCGGTGCTGTCATCAACTTCGGCGCCATTAAGATGCACGTGCCGATGCTTTAACCTACACGGGGAAACTGAGAAACAAAAGCAGACAAATTCGAAGGGGGAGTTGGTTAAGCCTTTCACGCATTCACAATCGGTTCTTGGAGAGCACTGGTGAAATTGCTTTCTAATGAAGTGCACTGGAAGATGCATGTACACACATCGCCACTGGGCGTCAACGGCAGGTTCCTCTTCTCCCGTCGTTCCGAGTTACAAAAAGAGGGTGTTCAGTGTTCGCGAGCTCATTGACAGAGACAAGACACCGTTCGCACTAGCACACACGAGCTATGGAACAAGCGCGGTATAAGTTAAAACGCACCTCGTCTGCAAATTCGGCGACGAGGGGATTGGCAAGAAAACACGACGATAACCTAGTGCCCTCTCCGCCACTTCGATCTCGGGCTACAACCTCCTTCACCTGCCGCGCGCCTGACTCACTATAAGAGCAACTTTGACAAACTGGCAGTGAGACGCAGGCTGGGGCGTTCCGAAGAACATGACGCTCAAATCCGCTTCAAATCGACACGGTGGTCACACAGAGCGAAGGAAAAACCGGAGTCATGCGAATCAAAGTCACGTGAACTGTGACGTGGAGCAGCTACAGCCTTTTGGTTGCCATAGAAATCAATACTTTATGTCCAATAAGCATGTGCAGATCAGGCCATGACATGACATTTCAGGCTTAGAAGTTTCAGTCTTCGGTGAGCATCACCAAAGCTACGCAGCGATGGGTGTTCTGGTCCTCGTCACGCTACCCACGTCACGACCTCCGGTTCTTTCCACTTCGATATCTGAGGTCGCCATGTCGTTTTGAAGTGGGCACGATGGCTTGTGGTACCAGGAAAGTGCCACAACGGCTGCAAGCACGTTACTTTTCTATTTCTTCGCAAAAACTTGCCTCGGGTGGGAAAAAAATGACCCCAGACTTCGCGCGGGGAAGGAACCTAGGGGGCGAGAGGACAGAAGGGGAGGGACATTCTGAAAACAAACTGACGGCTCGTGGGTTGTACACACCGGAAAACGAATAAAATAAAGATATCACAGTGGTGTTATACAAACTCGTGGTGGATTTGTTGTATAGAAGGGCGCAGGCGGGGAACCGGGATTTGTAAGGGTAGGAATTCGTCCAACACTTTCTCCCACTCTTGAGACCCGAAGTCTACATATACACACCGGTGAACTAGGATGACTTCCAGCAGATCACGCGGCGACCATCTTCGATGCATTTTGAACTTTCGCGCGTTCCAACCCTCCTTCGTTCGCGGACCACTCGCGATCGCCGTGAAGTTCCCCTTGACGTCGAGACCGGGGCGGGTCCCAACGACGGGCATCGGGGAACTGCAACGGACGGGGAACATCCGTGCGACCTCAACGAATATATATCGAAACTAACCTGCTGTGTGGCGGAAGTGACGATCAGGCTGTGTTTGTACGCTTGGCAGCTTTTCCTCTTTCTCACGGGTTCCCTCTAGCTTTCCCATAATTCGAGCTGCTTTCCCTCCCATATGTTTCCGCGTATCCCTTTTCAATCCTTTCAAATTGATCATACCTGACTACTTCGGAGCTCAATTGAACGGATCCCTGCAAATTCAAAACTCGCATCTTGTCTAGGTGAGTGAATTACCACGATCCCTCTTCGGCACATCACAGTCTGCTCGACCGTGTAGCCGGAGATAAAAAGAGCGACTTTCTGTTCAAAGAGTTCCTTCCCGCACGAGATTCGATTCAGCGATACTTTCTCGACGCGAACGACGACGACCCGAACAGAGCCAGCGTCCACAAGAAGACAAAGGAACGGTCCACTGTCCACCTAATGGCGACCGCTCAGGTAACGGCCAGATGCCCCTGAAGCTGGGACGGGCTGGCTTTGAGCACAAAGGCCGAGTCCGACTTGGAGTGCGTGTACGCCTTCACGGCTCGCTTCATGAGCTTGGACGCCGAGGGCCGGTGGTTGGGCACCACGTCCGGCGGCTGCAGGGAGTACGCTGCCTTGTCGATCTGCGTCATCGACGGCTGGCCGTAGATACTCGACGGCCGCGGGTCTTCGTCGCTGGGCAGAGCGCCCCGGAGCTCGTGGAGTATGAAAGGCTGCTGCTGCTGCTGCTGTCGTCTCTGCTGCTGCAAGAGCTTCTGCTGCTCTTCCAGCTGCAGGAACGGGTTGCTGAAGCACGACTGGGACCGGTGACAGTGGCCGTCCAGCGTGCTTCGCCGGGGCCCCGTCAGCGTGACCGGCGAGTCTGGACGGATGTAGGAGAACTCGAGCGTGGCCGAGGCCGTGGCGCCGCACCGGCCGCCTCCGCGGTGGCCGTTGGACGTCGCCGAGGCTTCGGGGGAGTTGAGCACGTGCTGCGCGTACAGGGACCGCTGCGCCAGCGCCGGGGAGACCTGGAGCCAGAACGCAAGGGTTTCATATAGACGTCTGCAAGCAGCCACGCTTCTCACGCTTCAAAAGCTAGTCTAGTCACTGCGGATGAAAAATGATTTGTTTGGGACTCGTTCTAGCAACCGTGAACACGCCTTGGTAAGGCTTGACTATCAGACAATCAACACGCGGCAGCAGCAGGATGGCAGCCTCCAGAGCCTGTACTTGCAGACGTGTATACATCATTCCAATAATCGTTTCCTGTGCGCTGTCGTCTTTGTCTACTGGGCTATGGAATGCGTGCTGCGCTGGCGCAGTGTCTCCTGCGGAAATTCAGACGCCGAGCATGCGTCCAGGGTGTCGGGTGGCAGTGCTGGAAAGGTGCATTACCAGTACAGTAACAGTGTGTGAGTGTGTATGTACACCTTACCATCGCTCATCGCCTAGGCGAAAAACTTAGAAGACGTTTAAGGTTCGCCTTTAAGGGTGGAACGCGATAGCGCTATCGGGCCCCGTTCGCATCGCTTTCTCATTCGCCGTGCAAGCGTGCCTTGCGTAGCCTAGTGAGTAGCTTGTCTGGCTCGCAACCGAAGGGTCGTGGTTTCGAATCCCAGCTAAAATTCTTCAAATTTGTCGTTCAGGCAAATGAATTACTTTATGAAATAAAATCATTTGAGACATGCGGCGACATTTGATTCGCGTTACATGTCATGTTTTGATCACATTCATTCCTAGCGTGATATCACGTTTCACGTGAGCGTTGTGGGTTGAACAACAAGGCGATAAGTTGGGCGAGTTGGTTCAACATCTTCAAACGCGAAAACAGCGCAAAAAGTTTGACAAGGGACGAGTGAAAGAAGTGCACGGACAAAGCGCTGACTATCAACTAAAGTTTAATTTTCAGGCGAACCAGAATAATAAACACAGAGAGCATAGGAAAGAACCAGACAATAAACCAATAAAAAAAAATTTTTGGTTGTGTTTTTTTGTTTCTTGATTGGTTCTTTCCTATGCTCCCTGTGTTTATTTTTCTGGTTCGCCTGAAAATTAAACTTTAGTTGATAGTCAGCGCTTTGTCCGTGCACTTCTTTCACTCGTCCCTTGTCAAAATTTTTTGCGCTGTTTTCACGTTTGAAAACGTTGTGCGTTGTTTGAAATTCGCGCCAGCGTTACTAGATTACCCCAGTTGTGGAACTCCTGCGGAAGAATATACCCCCTCCTCAGGTACATCAGTCCGCCTCCCGTCGTTTAAAACGCCATCTGAACTTTCGTTTCATAACTGTGTTCCATAAAGTAGGGTGGAACGCCATTCGGACAATTTGCTTCGAAACGTACGCATTCCAAGAACACACTGCAGTTATTATAGCAGCCGTCCGGCGCGTCGAACGACCCGAGGCGAGTCGTGGTGAGTGAGGGAGGTACTGCTCGTGTAAGCAGCGTCTATGCGCAGTTCCGTAACTGAGCAAATCTAATAACGTTGATTCCCGCGCGACGTCATGTGGCTATGACGTCATGACCCATCGACCAATCAGGATTCGCGTCACGTCACGAGCTCCTTAAAGACCGACGACCAGTTCGCGCTTTCCACTTTTCCCTCGCTTCCTCCTCTCCCCCTTCTACCGTTTCCTGTTTCCTCCTCCCCCATGGTGAGGAGGATCTTCTGCCTTGCAGAATCTCGAGTCTGTTCGTCGGCCTTTAACTGCTGTCGCGTTAAAATGCGGTCACTGGGCCGTGGCCACGTGCAAGTGTCTGCTAATCAGCAGAAGGGAGGTACTGCGCACGCTCAAACCGCAACACACGCTGGTTGCAGGGTTTTTCTGAAAGGAGAGATAAAAGACGGCGCGAAGTCTACCTGCAGGGACCTTGGCGACGGCCGGTGGGCACCGAGCGAGCGCTGTCCCAGCGACACGAGCGAGCTGTACGAGCCCGTGCACTGGGGCGCCAGCCGGGGACCCAGCGGGGCCGACCAGGGCACCGAGCGGGTGTCGTAGTCGGCGCCGGCGTCCGTGGCCAGGGACATCCTCTGCGCCTTGCGGGTCAGGCTCGGCGTAGGGGTGCGCTCTCCCAGGCTGCGCAGCTCGCACGACGTGGACGTGCGCACCGACGACGACGGCGACTGGGCCTCCGACGAGAGCGTGTGCTGTAGCAGCAGGGCTTGCCTGCACGAGGAGTCGATCGGGGGAGAGATTAGGGCACGAGACGGATTTAGATTTCGTTACATCTACAACACTCGACTGACATAGCAGAACGCTGGGCCAGGGTACGGTCGGCTGGGGCGTGTGTCCAATCGGCAAAGCAGCGGTTGAAGACGCTTGCCAGACGAACGCTGACATGTCACTCGCGGCCAATTTCTGCTCCGTACTTAATCGGGGGAGATGACGCAAAGAATCCAGTGCACAGGCCTTGTGTTGGGTGAACACCGAGCCTCGAGGAAAACAAGCTGGAGAAAGCGCACCATGTATGCATGGCTTGCACGTGATGTCATCGGACCGCACCAATGGTAATTCCTACTTGTTATAGCCGAGAAAAACAAATTCGGTGGGGTCAAATATATGCTGCAGTAGTTTCGCGCGCGTCAATAAAGTTCTTCACGATTGCAGCCGATGTCACGTCAGGGAAAACCATGTGCCGACTGCTGCGGAGGTGAACGACAAGTGTTCCGGAATTTCATGCAGTTCCTTCATGTCGCGTTGCTGCAGTTATGCCCCGATTTCACGTGGCCGTTGCCATTTCTGTTTGCTACATTAAAACTTCAGGCTAAAATATATGAAAAATAAATAAATAAATAAACGTCAAAAGAGCGAGCGTCACGAAAGCGCTAACTGTGGCCAACAAGTAGACTCTGACGTCGCGAACAATGTTTATTACCGGCATAATCGAGCTTAACTGGCTTTCATGGCAGTCATCCTTCCAATATTCGGCAACTTAAAAAACACAACTGGGAACACTATTCCTTTTAACAATAAATAAATAACGACGATCGGTGTCTTTCAGATAACCGTTACACTTTTTTTACAGAAGTATCAGCTCTGAAAAGCAGTGTAACGATGTTGGACATTCGCTGTTTTTGACACACTTTCCTTCAACCATATATAAAAAATAAAATCAAAAAAGAATTCAGACGGGTTTGTAAGCTTGGTTTTCATGCGCTAGTCTGAAGAATGTGCTTAGCAATCGTCGATTTTCAATTTACCATTTTCGAAATAGCTAGAAGAAAACCTCAAGTCGGCAACTCCCTTGATGACCCCTGACGACTCTTAGAAGACCCCCAAAATGAGTGAACAATTACAACGATGGTTAGATACGGAAACAGGCTGACATATTACAACGGGCGAACCAAGCGGGACAACATCGAAGCATCCACGAAAAAGAAAAGTAATAAAAAAAAAAAAGTATCGCGGGCTGCCTACAACCTTTCAAATTCACAGGCCCGGAATAATCATTTGACGTCATGCTCGGAGGCGCACGAGCAATCTATATTTAATACGACCTCGCCTCAGAACCCACCCCCCAGTTCCCTGTGGCCTTCCCAACTCCGATTCTGCTCCGTTTTGTTTCGTGCCCTTTTCGCGGATGGGTCGGTCACTCGGCGGCGATACCGCGAGGTCACGATCACGCTATGTACGCCGCCGGGCCCCGCACGCACGCGTTGCCCAAAACAAGGCGCCGCTTCTCTCTTTCCGGCGTGCATCACCGACGACGCACCCCCGCTCGGTCAAAAGGTGGCCGCTTGTTTTAGACGGCACGGCCCCAATCTGTCACGTCACGCATCGCGTTCTCAGGACCTCGTTTACTTTTTTACTACACTCCGTTTCTTGTCAGACTGGACCACGGCGGACGGTACGAGTCATCCCCGCCAAACAGGGCGCCGTGAGCACATCGCGTAACTGCGTGCAATATCATCTAGAATACAAGGCCCGCTCGTGATGTCATCGCCGCTGGCTCCCCGACGCGCACTAGGCGGTACCCTCCTGAAGATCACGTGACAATCAGACGGCATTGGATTGGCTGCGACGGCTCTCGAAGCGTCCTGTGCGGTCCGTTGTACGGTGAACCGGCATCCCGTTTTCTACAATACACGGTCACTGGTTCCTCTCCGCGCTCCTCGGCGAAGGGCAGAGCAGTTTCCGCCGCCACAATCGATGAGGGCCAGCCGCGTGCTCGCCGGGAACGCCGGCGTTCGTTCGTCGGGGCAGCGCGGAGAGCTCTCCCTCATCGGTCTTTTAGGACGTCAACCGGCTCAGAAAGGCGGGGGATAGGGGTTCGTCGTCGCGTGACCGCACGAACCTATTTCGGTTTTGGAGGAGGAGGAATTTAGCCGCTTGATTTGGCGACAGCATCGTTGTTACGAGTTTTGGAGGGAATGGAATTCTCGGGTGTTCGTCTGCTCCGGTGGTGTACCGTACACACCACTCGGTGATCCATATAAAGCTGTGAGTGTGCAACGAAAAACTGAGATTGATTGTCGTTAAGATTCGTTGTGGTGCTCGTGAATTTGTGGCCACAGTGTCCAGATCCATCATGATAATAATCGTGGACGGAAGGTTTTAACATTCTTTCCAAGTCATTCCGCCCCTCACACCAACGTCATCCAAGAAGACAACAGCGCCATTCTTTACTAAACATTTTTTTTCTGTTCATGGTTTCACGTGACGCCATTGCCGCGATATTTGTTTATGTCAAGTTACCAGTAGCGAAAGAAAGCTGCAGGCTGACCTGCATTTGCCTGTGTTTCCATCGTCTCGGTGTAGCCAAAATCAACGCCTCAGCAGCTGCCTCTCAAGATGAAATAAGGGCTTCAGTGGTCGAAGATGGCGTTTAATTTCGCGGAAAACATGCTCAGTGAAGCTCTCGGCCATCAAACGAAAACAAACCTGGCTTCTTTCTTTTGCCTTGTGCTTTTTGAAATTTGGGACCTCAATGCCAACAGTCAAATTATGTCTACATAAAATATTACAGGTGGTCTAGAAAATTGACGCCATAGTAAAATTAACAATATTCCTTGATGCTATGTGACCTGTAAACTGCCTCCGACGTTAAAACTCCAAGAATCCTCTCGCTGAGAGCCAACGGTGTATGCATTTGAAGAAGATACCTTCTGAATGGCAACCGGCCAACGTTTCGCGAAGGGATTTATCGTCTTCAGGACACTGAAGATGCTCTACCTTTTAGCAAAATGTCAGCTACATTGCTCAGACTTCAAAAAAATTCTTTCGCAAGTTTTTGCTACACTGAGGTAGATAATCGGACAACTTTGTAAACGTTGCTCATGATGGAGATAAATGTCTCAGTAAACGTCAACGGAGGAAAGACGCAGCTGCACAACATGACAATGCAGTGTCCTTCTGGAAGAGGGTGCAGTGTCTCTCCACGACCTTCGACTATACTTCGCGACTAGTAAAGGTGTGTCCAGGAGCTTCTTTCAAAAGCTCTGTCTACCATCTCCGACTACGCGTCTTGTAAAGGCGTATATGTGCTTCGAAGAATATGTCTGACCTCTTGGTGAGTCCCCCGTCATAGAACTGGGGTCCCAGGGTGTGGGCCTTGCGCAGGGCCTCCCTGCGGCCCTTGCTTCGTCCGATGGCGTCTCTAAGGGCGAACATCCAGTCGTCGAGGCCGCAGTTGGTCCAGAGCAGGAGCTGGCCCTCGGTGCCCACCCGAAGAGCGATAACCCCTGTCCGCTTCTTGTCGGCCCACTGCAGCCCGGCCACGTCCGCTAAGTTCACCTGCATCAGGGCATCACGAGAGGCGCAATTAACAACAGCCATTTGAACTCATCGCCTGGGAGAGTGCACCTCCTATGTTGGGACAACGATGTAATTTTAACAAAGAGAGTAATACTCTGCTGCATACACTGAGCCACATCTGCTGGTAATACGTTTCTTTAATTACAGATATTTATATGCAAAACGTTAATTCCGCATTTCTGGAGCGACTGGTGTATTTCTAACCTGGAGAGTGGCGACCCTCCGCCCGCAATGTCTTCGGTTCTTCCTTTTTTTGCTCCTTCAAATGAGCTTCTAGGATAACGCCGTAAAATCGTTCTGGTCCCTCCGAGCAGCCACAGGCAGGACGCACTGAAGCCTCCTCATAGGCGTCAGCGCCGTCTGGTGTCTCAATGACAACAAATCACGCTGCGGAGCTCGAGGTAGCCCATCTCGCGATTTTCTCTGCTGAGATCGGTGCTCTTGCTCCAGTCGGCCCTCATAAACACTGCCCATAGTTTCCTGCCGACTATCATACCGACTATAATACACATAAGAACTAGACCCTGAGACTACGGAGAACGAGGGAACGACACGACACAGAAGTCTCAAACATAAAAATTTTGAACACAGGCCACACTGCATGCTGTGTTTGAGACTACTGTGTCCCGTGTCGTTCCCTCGTTCTTCGTAGTTTCAGGGTTAAGTCTATTGTGTTCAACCAACACCAGCTCGTTTGCGTCCTTTTAGTTTACCATAAAACACGTCCAGGACAGCGTACCTTGTAAAGGAATCCACCCATCTCCGAAGTTCCGACCTTGGACTCCTTCTTAAAGCACGCCAAATAGTCCTTGGTGAGGACGAAGTAGCGTTCTTTCCACCTGCTGAAGAACTTGTCCCACTGCTGCCACAGGAGGCCCTTCTTGACCGTCGTGGTCTCCAGCAGGGGCCCGTTGGGCTCTCCTCCTCCTCCCCGCTGCGGCTGCTGCTGCAGGGGCCCCCCGCCGTGGAAGGGGCCCGTCTGAATGAGGCCTCCCTGGCCGTTCATGACCCCGTTGCAGCGGCCGATGCTGCTCGACATGGCCGCGCATCTTAGGCCCACTCCGGGCCGAGACGCCAGCGCACCGCCGGCAACGCCGCTCCCGCCCTCCGGGTCCACCACGGGGCCCGTCCTGAGAACCACACGGAAAAAAAAAACGGGGTTTGAATTCGTCGTCATGGCTCGACGCGAACACACAAGGGCCAATAATAACGGCGCGTACACATGAAAGATGCTTTGTGAGAATAAATTATTAAATCAGTGCCAGCTTGCTAGAACCAGAGCCGTGAATAGAAAAAGGTTGGTCAAATGGGATGCGCGGGCAGAGCCAGGGCGTGAACCAGACGTGGAAAGAGGGCTTGACATGCTCTTGAGGCCAACCAGAAGCCGAAAACAATCCCCTAGAGGTGGTAGCGAGAAACAGTATTAATCATAGGTATACGTTGGTATATGGTTTTAATAAGCGCATTAAGAGTGAACTGTAGTAACCCTTTATGGTTAAAAATAGGGTGCACATGATGTTTCGATTATGATCATGCAGAAAGATGTAAGAAACGAATGTGCCGCTCAACTCCGTTTTGCTCGGACAGAGTGTGACCGCTCGGACGGCAGATTCCCGGCCCTCAGCGCTTGGCGTACGGATTGTGTCGATCGTTCTGCTAGTCGCACTCTTCCACCATGATTTTGGATGACCGTGATTGAAACATCACGGGCATCATATTTTCAGTCAAAGAGAGTTACTCCGACGCACTCTCTTAAGTTTGTTTCTCGCGACCACCGCCAGGGTAGTATTTCCGGCTTCTGGTTGGCCACATTCGAATTTGTGACAACGCCCTGGAACACGCCCAGCCCGCTTTTCGCCAATGGCGCCTCCTCATCTATCTCCTATACTTCCCAACGAATGGCCAAATTATATACCGCTCTGGCTAGAACCAGCGTCTTAGTTGAAAACTTGAGACTGTACGAAAAGTGCAGGGAGGAGGGGGGGGGGGGGGGGGGGGAAGGGGAAATTGCTCCTCAAGTATGTAGTCTTGCCAAGCCAAGATCAAGCTCCCATAAGCTACTCACTATGCGCAAGCTAAAACACTGTCGAATTCAGAAATCTAGCGCATAAACTTTGCTGGAGGGTCTGCTCTATAAAGATCAAATTTACGTTGTACGTGCGGTTTATGTTTCTGGCTTCAAAGCGATGCTTGAAGAATGACCGCAAAAATAGTACATCGTTTTTGGTGGAGCCAATCAATCTTAAAATGAAACACTCAAATTTCGATATTTCTTTTTTTTTTTTTATCCTTGGCCACGATCTACCTAAAAATTAAATTTCAAAACGCAAAAAAAAAAGCAGTTGAAATTTAAAATATGCGGCGGCAATAAGAAATATTCATTACATTCAGATCACGTCGACCCCACCGCCCTCTCTCCCTTTCCCTCACCGAGGGGATTGAGTCCAGGAGGACCATTCAGAATTGGGTAATAACGGGAACAAGGGTTCCTCAGGCCTCGGGTGCAAGCCACAGGCCACGAACCCCCGAGGGAACGCCCGATGGACGACGGGAGTTGCCAAAGGGTGCTCCGTCTTTCTCAGACGGTACTTGTCGACAACTGACGCAACCGACAAGTAAGCTCTAGCATCTCCTAAATGCAACAAAAAACAAAAAAAGAAACACAAGGTGGAGCGTACGCAAAACTCGACGACCAATATATCCTTGGAATAACAGCAGCACGTGAACTCCAAGCTCCTACTTTGGGTTTCGTAAATATTTTCGCAAACTCTGCGCGATGTCACAAGATCAATTTCTGCCGAGTTGAGACCGACGCCCGACGGGAACTGCAAGTAAAAGGGAGCAGACGTGGAAATACAAATGCACGGGTGCGCGGCACACGTGCCCGCTTCTTCGTTGGAGTTACATAACTCATGAGGGGGGTGCGAGCTTATTGCTTCTTAATCTACTTTTTTTTCCTTTCACTTTTACCTGCACTCATCCGCCAGCATCGACACGCAGAGGGCTTCCGTCGATTGCGAGCTTCTTTCTCTTCTTTTTTTGGACTTTAATGTTGCCATCGTGGAAAAAGAAATATGTGGAAAGTGGAGAGTTCCGAAGAAGGATACTCTTTTATGTGTGCGTTGTGCATCGTGCGATGTACGAGAGATGTATGGCTTCCGTAGCGGGGAAGTATCGATCCCCGAGAGGCCGGAGAACCCGGGAACGTTCGCAGGAATTCCGCGAGGGGGGGGGTTATCCGCGCATGGAGACCGACGTCGACGGCTAACACGGTGGAAATATTAGGCAGTCCGAAATCTCATATCTAAAACCATAATGAATGTATTTGCTTCGGGAACGACCCCATCGGGCGCCAACACCGGACCATTGGCCTGAGCGCCAAGGTCAATGCACGGCTTGCACCGACGTCACAACCGCGGCCATGTTGTGGAGGCTTCGGCGCTGAGCCAATGCGGAGCGAAAGTTCGTCTGCTTCTTTTCCAGGGGTTGTGGTGACGTCAGAACAAAGCCGAGCTCTGGTTGGCTCTGATTGAAGCACAGGAGGTAGACCTCAAGGGAAGACGCCTTAACGTCTACCTTCTATCCTTCAATCAGAGCCAATCAGAGCTCGGAGTCGTTCTGACGTCACCGCAACAGCTGCGCAAAAAGCAGACGACTTGCTCTCCGTATAAGGAGTATTGACTGGACACCATATTTGTGGGTGCTGTTTAGAGCGCATGCTCAGAACGAACTCACATTACTAGGTTGCTAAGACCGTCAGTCTTGATGGTGTGGAATGCACGTCTGCAAAAGAACTGTGGAAGCTCGCCATGAGGACGCGCTCAGCAGTCGCGCGCACGGCTATGGCCGCCAGTGAATACTCCCTATACCACTTAGAAGAAAAGGCATGCGCGTGGTTTCTCCCCAAACGTCAACCCCAGTGGCCAACAATGACTTCATGAGTAGGCCTTGTCTTCTAAATGGTATTGGCTGAGCACGTGCCTTCTGCAGCCTACATTTCGCACCATCGAATTTGTTTCGATAGGCACGAACAAGTGTGAATGACCACCAGCGTGGTATGATGACTTCATGTGCCAGCCATGTATACTGCAAGCATGCATGACCTCCCGGCTGGTGACCCATGCGTGCAAGCACGTGTAGCGGGAGCGTGGACGTAGCTTTGGCAAGCCATACCCTCCTATATAATAACAAAGCCTGGCAGATCGCCACGAGAAGCGGCCGCCGAAATGGAAAAAGAGGAGCGGAAGACAACGGATGAGAGGAGAGTCACGTGACTGGCGCCCCGCTGCGGCGAGACGATGAAACACACTTCTCCTGAGCGAACACGAGTGTTTCGGGTCCCCGCCGCTGCAAAAGCTGGGCGCTGGCGTCCAGGTTCCCCGAGAAATGGCTCTTTGACGCTCTGTGCTACCCGATCCTCGCGCTCCAAATCTGCGACCGGGCACTGTATGGCTCTGTCGTCGAACTGCCAGGCTTTGTGAGTATGGAGGAGGCTTTGGGCAAGCATGCAATTGCATAGGCTTGCTCGCACGAGCAGAGACACATGGAGGCGGCCAGTTGCCCCGCTTGCAGTCGTGTATAGACCTTTTCGCCCTCCGTCGAACGGGCGCTGCCATTTTGGAATCACGTGACGTGGCTGCCATAAGGTAGCCTCCATTCGTCGCTCCTCTCTGCCCTCCGCACCTTGGCGAAGTCGTTGTATTCGGGTTTTTCGTCGCGTTTCACCGCGATATTATGCCTCGCTTTGCGAAGTGTCGTCTGGTACTTATTTCACTACGTGCGCAACTTCTCCACTTGATTTAACAGCGCGTTTTGACTATTTGAACCATCGGCGTAACCGATACGTGTGAGGAAAGGAACCAGCGTTAGCACTGGCGCACATTTAGTATGTAGATGACTCTAAGACACACGAGAGTTGTGATGCCAATTATTTATGACAGCGTAAATTAAGCGATAGTGGCTCAATAAGAAGTGCAAGGCATATTAATGATCACGCATTTATGATCTTAAAGAAGAAGGCAAATACAGTCAACGAGAGGAGCTATACTACGTGTGTTTCTCGAAAGCATCGCGTTCTGCCTTCATATCAAATTCAACACGTTGCTTTCGATTATATGGGGGAATCATTTTTTCGGTATAAACATTCGCTTGACTCGTTTATTTATGAATTTAAATAAACTATACATTGTGCTAGGTCCAAGGTCTGCAGTCTTTAAAGTTTCTTAAGATATCCAGTTCAATTAATTTATTTATACACAAAAGGTTGGGCTCCCCGGGTGAAAAACCGTTTCAAAGACATCTTATGAGTGCCCAACAAAAGCGCCTGAGGCACGCAGTATGCGACGCCGAAAAGAAAAAGACATCTGCATGGAAATCACTCAAATGCAGCGTTGCCGATGCCGTATTTACTCTCGACGCCGTGTCAAGTAAAAACAGAATTTTCTCAAACAAATAAATAAATATCTGTCTATACAAATCCATGAAGTGGTGCCTAGCATTCGCCTTTAGTCAAGCTTGCTAGAGGTCAATTCTCTTGCGCCATTTAATTTTATTTCGCAAACTACACGGAAGAAAGAGGTCAGACTTGACTTGAAAGGTTAATCCATTACCTCATATTTAAAAAAAAAAGAAAAAAACGTTGTAAGGAAATGCCCATATAACATATAGTTTCCTAGGGTCAACATCGTGAAATGCTGCCAATGAATACTTTAGCAGGGCCGGTAGTTGAAAACATTTGCTACTCGGCCTGGGATGGATCACCAGAAAGGTATTTCGAGTACTTAATTTCTTTAAAGAAACCGGTAGAGACCATATCGCTTCTTTTTTGCATTATATGCGTCATTACAGGGGGGTTTCCCAGTCAGAAATTTTCACAAAACGCTGGTGTTCTCGAAGATCAAACAGTAAGCACTAAACCTGCGGGTTCATCTGTTCACTGCGATTCAGCGCATCGTTGGTCAGGTTGTCGACCTACTTCTTCACTGCGTGTCATGCGTCAGCCTCTTCATAAGTTTAGTTTTGTGGAAACTGCAGTGTCAGCCGGTACGTCCACTACGGCCGTAGAGATCGGTATAATCTTCCTCCTCCATCATTTCAGTCGTTTCGCTGCCGACCTTGGCCGAACGACGAA